ACCTCATTGAGAAGGCAAGCAATTCCATATAGGTCATACATGCATAGTCATGCAAAACATATCCGTAATAGTCATGTTGTGAAAGAAAACATGGACCAAAAAAACTTTTAAAAAAACCCAGAGAAAGTAAGAAAAAAGTATGCTTCAATCTGTATTTAGACACCATCAATTCTTTCTCTGGGGATGGATAGCATTTTTCATCATCAGTCCTTCAGAGTTGTCTTGGATCATTGTATTGCTGAGAATAGCTAAGTCATTCATAGCTGATCATCTTACAATATTGCTGTTACTTTGCACACAGTACATTTCACTTTGCATTATCACTTTGCTAGGTCAAAGGCTAAGGGTATGCATGGTTTTAAATAGCCCATTGGTCATTGTTCCAAATTGCTCTACAGAATGATTGAATCAGTTCACAACTCTACCAACAATGCATTAATGTCTCACTTTTCCCACATCCCCTTCAACATTTATCATCTACTTTTTCTGTCCTTCTCATCATATTTTTTGATCATTATTTAGTCTCTCATGCTTTTTAGTCTAGTTTAGTTTAGTTTTGTTTTTGTTGGAGATGGGCTGCCTACCTCCATTCAGGCAGAGTTCAGCTAGCATTTAAAATTGTAGTGGATCCAGTCATCAGTTCTGTGATTTCTTTTGAGTAGGGGCATAGGGAGTAAGGGGCACAAACATTGCAGAGTGGAGGTTTGGCAAGGTGTGGAAGGTATTAGGAAAAGGGAACAAGGAATTTAAGAGTAGAGGACAGTGTGAAGCTGAACTGGGTTACCAAGATTGGAAAGGGAGGAGGGTATAGGCTGAAAAGTGGGGATGTCTGGGATAGTACTAAGGAATGGTGGGATTGTTGGTCTTGGTGACAACAAAGAATAGGTTTAAGAGGTGTAAGACATAGAGAGAGCTGGAAAGATAAAAGTTTAAGCTTGGATAAAGGAAATTTCAAGTTCTTGAATATGGAAGTAGAACACCTGTGGATAATGGAAAGTTCAAGGTTTTGACCCTCCTTGGGTACAGCTGAAGTATACATGGGAACATGAGCATGCATGGTGGTGGCTCTTAGAATGACAGCAAGAGTGGGTAGTGAAGAAAACTCAACTCACTGAGAAAACAAGGCAAATATCCTGGTATAGAACAACTCCTAATTTTTAGATTGGGTGATAAACATACAGGAATGCCTCAAATAATAATATTTGAGAACTGTAATGGTACAGGAGGAAGAATGCCACACCCAGAATCAGAAGACCTGAGTTCTAGCTGGGACACCCTGTTAATAGTGGGACCTACCCAACTCACAAGATTACTGACTTGTTGGAAGGTCAGCATTTCTTAGAATGTAAGCTCCTTGAGAGCCATTTTTTTCCCCCTCGGTATTACCAGTGCCTAGCTTGGTACCTTGCACTTAGTAGGTGCTTAACAAATCTTCGTTGTTGTAAACCTTAAAGCATTTTAGAAATCAAAATGATTATGAATATCATGATATCTAACCCAGGATCATAGATTTGGAATGAGAAGGGACCATATAAATAATTTACTCCAGTAGCTCTCAAAGGGCTGTCCTTGATCCTGTGGGAGGCCCCTGATACCTTTTCAGGTCAAAACTGTTTTCAAAATAATAAGGAATTATTTGCCTATTAATATCCTCCTCCCTTTTCCAACTATGTATCTGTGTAAGGCTGAGTTTTCTTAATGTGTACTTCAACTAAAATAAGTTTGCAACAGATTGAATGCAGAAGTAGATAGGAGAATGCAGTTGTCTTCTATTAAGCCTGACATTAAAAGATCTGCAAAAGTATGTAAAAGAATGCCACTCTTCTCACTAAATTTTTTTGCTTTGGAAAATATAGCTATTTTTCATTAACTATGTTATTTATCTTAACATATAATGGATTTGTTACTGTTATTTTAAAATGAATTCATTTAATATTTTTCAAATGAGTTTTAACTTCTAATATAGTAAATATTGATAGATACAATTCACACAAACAAAAACTCTTTGAGGATCTTCATTTTATTTTTAAGAATGTGAAGGGGTCCTCATAATTTTTAAGAGTGTAAAGGAGTCCAGAGACCAAAAAGCTTAGCAATCATTGATCTAGTCTGAGTTCTTCTTTTTATACATAAGGTCAAGTACTGAACTTCGAGTTCATACTCCAGGCCTGTTACATATAACCTTCTGTGACCTTGAACAAGTCACTTCACTTTCCCCTGGGCCTATTTCCTATCTGTAAAATGAAGAGTTTGGGCTACATGGCCTGTAAAGTTGCTTTTAGCTCTACAGAGGTCTTGCAAAGCATAGAAAACTGAGCATGTCTCCAAGTCACAGTGATAGAGTAAGTAACATATGGGATTAGAAAGTTAGTACAATGCTCTTAGGGTTTACTATCCATTACGTCACATTTTCCTTACCAAAAAAATTGTGGTGTAACTTTGGACAAATAAAATTATATCCTATTTTACAAAGAAATGGAGTCCCAGAACGATTAAAGTGTGGTTGCCTTCATATCACACAGTCAATTTCTAAGTTGACTATTTGGCCATGAACAGACTATTAGATATGCTCACAGCTCTGAATTAGTCAATATAATGTCTTGATTTGTATCATACAATCCACTAACTTTAGGTAGAACTTTTCCTTCCAATTAGGAAGCAAACAGATTACCAGGTTGGGAGATGGAATGGTATGGAAGGGGATTCATAGAAATTTGAGCCTTTGGTAGGTGTTTTTCTTTTTCTTTCTTTTTTTTTTTTTTGGCTAGGCAATGGGGTCAAGTGACTTGCCCAGGGTCACACAGCTAGTAAGTGTCAAGTGTGTCTGGGGCCAGATTTGTCTAAGGAGGGTACTGCTGACCTTCCAGGGATCCATGTTTATCAGCTTGGACTCCATCTTTGACTTTATCTTCTCTTTCACCCTCCTGTTCCCCTAGCCATTACCTGCCATTTCCCTCCTATCTGTTCCCTCTTTTCACTCACATAAAGTGCTCATCAGCTTTTGACAAGAAATAGCCTCCACATTTCTACTCTCTGTTCTCCAAATTATCTTTCACATTGCTCCCAAAATAATCTTCCTGGCATTTTCCGGATTAAAAACTATTGGTGGCTTCTTGTTACTCCTAGAATAAAACATAAATTCCTCAGCATGACCTTTAAGGCTCTCTGCAAATTGGTTTCAGTATACTTTTTTCAATCTTATTTCACATCACTCTCCTTTCTACATGCAATAACCTGGCTAAACTGAACCTGAAGTAGGCATTTCATAGCCTGACTCCACACATATAAGCAAACTGTTTCCCATTTTGGGAATTCTCTATTTCCTTATCTTCCCTTAAGGATTAGCTAAATGCCAGCTACTTCAGGTCTTCCCTAATCTCCTTTTCCTCAAATGATTAGTATTATTTTCTCTCCCGAATTACCTTGTTGTAATTACCTAACTGGTGGTTGTAACTCCCCAGGAGAATGTAAGCTCCTCAGGGAAGAGGTTAGTGCCTTCCACATAGTAAGCGCTTAATAAATGCAGGTTTAAGTTACGCAAAGTCACACAGCTAGTGAATAATAGAACAGTACATTCAATCTCAGGTCTTCTGAATCCTAACCTGGTGCTCTTTCAACTTGTGACACCTGTGCTTATGGAAAATCACTTTGGCAGTAGTATGGAGAATGAACTGAAGATAGGACGAAGAGGAGAGACCCAAGACAGGAGGTCTAATTAGTAGTCTCTTGCAGTGATCTTGGCTAGAGGGAGTGACAGTCTGAATTAAGACCGTGGCTTTGTTAGTAAAGAGAAAATATGAATTGTTTTGGGGTCAGAAACTGCAACCGAGTGGATGTGTAGTTTGAGGGAGAATGAGGGAACCTGGTTACTGGCAGAAGGGATACCCTTGGCAGAAATAGCTAATTTCAGAAGAATGATAGATTTTAGAAGAAAGACAACAGATTATATTTTGGAGACGTTGAGTTTGAGATGGTTTTGGGACATTTTATTTGAAATGTCTGGAAGAAGGCAGTTGATGAGGTATGACTACCGCCTAAGAGCTTAAGGCTGGAAACACAGATCTCCAAGTTAGTTTAGAGAATTCTTCCTGGCGTTTCTTCTATTGTCTTAAATCTTTAAATGATATATTTTGAATCTAGGTCCAGCAACTCATTTGCTTTGTGACCTCAAGAAAGTCACAACCTTGCTGATCCTCTTTCCTCATCTTTAAAATGTGGATATTGTTCATACTAATTCACAAGTCTCATGTGAATAAAATGAGATAAATGAATTTAAAAGCCTTTGAAAACCACAAAACACTATACACATGTTTTTATGAATAATAAATTTTTGCATGTTTATGTCTCCCTAACTATATAAAAAGGTCCTTGAGGGCAGCAGCTTTTATCTCCTCCCAGTCCCATAGCTGTGCCTGCAACAAACATTTAATGATAACAACAGGTAACATTTATGTAGTGCCATTATATGTGCCAGGCACTGTTGCTTTACAATTTTTATCTCATTTGATGCTCACAACAACCCTGAAGGGAGATGCTATTAGCCCCATTTTACAGATGAGGAAACTGAGGCACACAGAGGTTAAGTGACTTGCCCAAGGTCGATGTGATGATAACAATATAAAACTTCTGGCCCTGTTGCCTGTATATGCGTTTTTCCAGAACCAGGAGAGTTTTGAGGTCAATATCAGCCTGATGGGCTGGGTGTGAATCAGCTCAGCTCTGGTGGGGGTAAAAGCAGTTCTAACTTTTAACCCTTGGCCCAGTCTTCCGCTTGCAAGCTTCCAGAACATCCCCTTTCGACCCCTCAAATCCCTCCCCACCTTCCTGTGACTGGAGGACCTCTGGCCTCCCTTTCTCGTCTCCCAAAGCTCAAAAGCCTGGGGGAGGGGGAGGAGGGGAAAAAAAAGGGCGCCGGCCCCTTTAAGGCTCTGTTCGCGCCGTCCTGCCCCCTGCCGGCTCGGGGTCCAGGTGGCCCGGCCCGCGCGCTGGGGCGCGGGGAGGGGGGGGTAAGGCGCGCGCCGGCGGCCCTGGGGCAGCCCCGAACACCCCTTGGATTCCCCGTAGGAAGTGGCTCGGTGGGCGGCGGAGGGCCGGAGGGCAGGGCCGCGGACCCCTCCACCCCCACAGCGGGAGGGTGTGTCAGCCCGGGCCCCCCCCCCCACTCCTAGTACCGGCGGGTGGAGGGGGGGGTGTTGCAAGAAGCGGCGGCGGCAGGAGGAGGAAGTGGCCACGGAGGCGGCTGCTGAGAATAGCGGGCTCCTAGCGGCGGCCTGGAGGAGGAGGAGGAGGTAGGAAGGGAAAGGGCGGCGGCGGTGCCGGGGAAGGCAGCCTGCGAGCTTGGGGGGCGCGTGCGGAAGGAGAACCAGGCGGGAGGCTCGCGCTGTCTGGCCGGCCGCCGCTGCGGGTTCGGCTGGGGGCCGGGAGGCGTGGGCTCCAGCTCACGCCGGGCCCGAACTCCCCGGGAGGTCCGGGGGATTCGAACTCTCCCTTCTCCTCCGGCGCCTTCACCCCCCGCTGTGCTCCAGCTAGAGCAAGTGAACGAGCGTGCTGCCCTGGGCGGTATAAAGCGAGGGGGTGGAGAGGGTGGGGAGAGTGAGAGAGCTGGAGGGGAGAAAAAAATAGGGGTGGAGGATTTGGGGGGCGGGAGCGCGGCTGCAGCTTGGGGGCTGAGCCTCTGCCGCCGCCTTCTCTTCCTCCAGTGCCGCCGCCGCCCGGGGGGTGGTGTTCTGTAAGCAGAGCAGGAGGCTCCTGGCGTGCGCGGCCGGGGCTGCTTCTCTAGCTCTTTCAGTGTGGGTCGTCAGGAAGGTAAAGCTTCCTTTTTTTTTTTTAACCTTCCCCCTTTTCCTTCATCTCCACCCCATGCTCCTCCTCCTCCTCTCCCCGCCCCCCCTCCCCATCCCCGCTCTCTGCCCGTCCTTTCCACTCCGGGGCCTGGACGGGCAAATAGACACTTGAAAGTTGCCTGGAGGGAGATCCCTGGCAGCCTCAGCAGCCCTGCCGCACCAGCCGGGGGAGTGTGGTGTGTGTGGGGCGTGGGAGCGAGACAACAGCTGATGCTGTACGTCCCTTATCCCTCGGAGTCTACTGCAAGTGAATTTCGCTCCTGATTTTATTATTGTTTTAACCCCCTTCCTCTGTCTCTATTCCCTGCAGGATTCTTTTTGCTCCGAGTCCTGGTTCCTGTTTTGTGAGTGGAGGTCGTGGCTGTGTGAATCTTGGGGACGAAACCTTGTCTGCCTTGGCACGATACCCCCCCCCACCCTGTGCAGCACCCCATCGAAGGACGAAGATGCAGACCTTTTTGAAGGGAAAAAGAGTTGGTTACTGGCTGAGTGAGAAGAAGATCAAGAAGCTCAATTTCCAGGCCTTTGCCGACCTGTGCAGGTAAGGAAAGGAGCCCTTTCTGGGGTCGGACTTGTCAGCTTCTTTCTGCCTCTTTCACGCTTGGGACCTGATGAAACGAACTGGGGTTGGGGTGAGTCTGGTAGCTCCTGTTTCCCAAAACATCGCCTAGATGGAATTGTTAGACATTTCCAGGTTCCTATGTGCTGCTTAATCTATAGGATCTACAAATTAAAGCAATAAGGGGAAAGCTGGTACTAATGGAAGTCAGGGGTGCACAGTGGTCAAGGTGGAGATGCTGTGAGGGCAGGAAGGCATTTCATGTAAGCACTGTCCAAAACAATTAGCGAAGTTGAGTTGACAAGTATGCATTTAATTGACTCTACTGAATTTGGAGTGTTTTCCAATGGTTCAGGTTCTGAATTTGGTGCCCCCCCATGCTACTTAGAGAGAAATCTTTTTTTTTTTAAATCTCCTCCACTACAGATGATAACAATTTAGCTTGTAAAACATTTTCCTATGCTTATATTTTGTATCTAGTCCTATGTGGACAAATTGTTTTTCTGGATAGAAGGTAAGTTCTCTGAGGGGAGGAACTGTTGGATTTCTTTGTTTTGGTCTCTTGAGCCTTAACTTTGGTGGTGCTAAATGCTTGTTGATTAATTAGTTTTATCGATTTTGTTCCTCCTGATCAACTGGTAGGGTGCCTTTATCCTCCGATGAAATCGTGGGTCTGTGGAGGTAGTAAGTATGGTTTGCCTCAGATCATTTGGTTAGTATGTCAGTCATATAGACAGTCAACAAACATATTAAATATGTAGATTTCTGGTCCTGAGTCTAATGTTTTTTCCTCATATGTTCTGCTCCCTCTGACTTAGAATAATATCTGACTTGGGAAGACCTTTGGCCTCCATGCTTAATTAGATTTTAAAAGACCACTGGACAGGTATACTTCATCTAGTATATGGAAATTGAAAGTAATAAACCAATTTTTGTTAGGATGAATTTAATCTTAGGTAGTTTTAGGGCAGGGATTCTTAACCTGTGGTCTGTGAACTTTAAAAAATTTTCTGATAACTATTTCAATGGTTTCCTTTATCATCCTTTATTTGTGTATACATGCATATGTATATATATGTATATCTGGTTTTATGCATTTAAAATCATTCTTCTGAGGAGTCCATAGGCTTCACCAAGCTGTCATAGAAAAGGTGTTAAGAATCCTTTATGTAAAGGGTATGTGTAACATGAATCCATTTGCAAAGTTGAGAGCCCTTTGGGAATTTGTATAGTTAATAAAGTCACACAACTGATGTATCTGTTTTTTGTTTGGGTATTGTATATTCATTTTCTAAAATGAGATGCACATACCGCTTGCTTCCAAGAACCATCTTGGGAAGTTTAAACTTAACGGTTCTCCAGTCAGGAATGAGTGGGGAAGGAAGCAGGTGGCAATAACTAGCATATGACTGGTTAGGGTTTGGCAGACTTGATAGCTGTACAGTACCTTTTTCACCTCCCTGTAGGTCTAGAGGTCTACTTCCCAGACCCACCTAAAAACCCTCTGTTTCTCCTTGTTACTGATATTATCCTTTCTTTTCCCCCTACTCACCCCAAGAGACAAATTTAGGAAAGAATTCACCTTGTGTAAAACAACCCTGTTGTCCATCAGTCTGTGTTCTAGGGATGGAATGGATTTCATTTGGCACTGCTCCTCTAGACTCATTTTATCCCCAGAAAGAAAGCTTTTCAGACTTGAAAGGAGTGTGCAGCTATGCACTAGACTTCAGATTAGGCCACATTAAGAGGGGCACAGTGTCCAGGACATGGAGGCACTCTGTCCTGGCCAGACCTGCTGTATTGTATTCAGGTCTGGGTTGGCACGTTTTAAGAAGGACATTGATCAACTGGAGTGTCTCCTGGAGAGGATAGGCAGGATGGTGAGAGAGAACTGGAGAAAAGGATAGTAGAAAGAAGAAACTGGGAGATGTTTAATCAAAAGAGAAGACTGGGTTTGAGGGGAGAGGAGTTTAAAAGACAAGATAACTGCCTTCATCTGTTTGAAGGATGGTAATATAGAAGAGAGATTAGACTTGGTCTGCTTGGTCCCAGGGGTCAGTACTAGGAACAGTGCACAGACAGATTGAAACTTTGCTAACATTCAGAACTGTCCAAAAATGTAATGTGCACTTTGGGGAGGTAGTGGATTTCCCCTTACTTAACATAATGAAGGCTGGATGACTGCTTGTTGGGGATGTCTTAGAAAGGATTTTTGGCTCACAGACTGGTTGGACAAGATGGGGTCATAGGTCCCTTCTGACTCTTCAGATTCTGTGATTCTGAGACCAAGAGCTTCCCATCGAAAGCATGAAAATGCAGTGCATAGGCTACATTTTTTTGGTACTTTGAAAAGATACCAGGATGCATAAATATTAACTACTAAGCATGTTTTCTTTAAAAAGTGGTTCAGTGGATGGATAATGTGTTGTTATCCTTCCTCAGACACTTATTTGGTGTGTGAGCCTGGGCAAAACACTTAGTGTGTGCCTCAGTCTCCTCTGCGAAATGGGGATAGTAATAGCACCTAGCTCCCAGGGTGGTTGTAGGGATAAAATGAGATTTTTTTGTAAAGTGCTTTGCAAATCTGAAAGAGCTGTATAAACATTAGCTGTTACCTTCTTACTATGGAATTCTTGTATATTACTCAAGAACCATTTTTGGCATGGGCCTAAGCCCTTTAAATATATCTTAGTAGAAAGGTTTTTGGGTTTTCTTGCAGTTACGTAAGACACATTGGTTAGTGATTCTTATCTGTTTCACTGTGTCATTTTGTATTTGTAGCTAAAGGGTACCTGGCTTATTATCAGATTAAATAGGGTTTGTGGAGTAATTAGACACTTTGTATAATTTCTAGCCTTAGGTGAGGGCTTGAGGTCCTCATTTTGTACTTCCAAATCTAAAGCAGCCTTGAATTGTTCTTTTTTTTCTTCCTGCTGTTTTTTTTCTTTGGTTTCCTTTTTCTTTAGTTGGGGCCCTTTAAGGTAGGTGGGTCTTGTTAAGTTAGTTGATGGTAATTGATATCTGTTGCAGGCTGGTGGCATCTCTTTGGTTTCACAAAATAACTTGTGAGTAGTAGTATTATCCAGATCTTAGAGGTGAACTGACTGAGATTCAGAGGTGAAAAGATTTGCCCAGTGCCACACAGTTCGAATCATAGGATCTGGAGTTGAGCACTGAACTGTTAGGCCTGTGTTCTCACCACTACAGCAAAGCATGATTTAGTCCATCAGGGCTTCCTGATTTTGTTGGTTTAAGTACTCCGCCAACAAACATTGCAATATTTTACTCAGAGGGTGGTCTTTTAATAGTTACTGTGGCCAAAAAGTTAATCAGCGTTGTCAATGTCCTGCAAAACTTTTTCTTAAAATCAAGGGATTGATAGAAATCTTAAGAATTATTTAATCTATTCCCTTGATTTTACAAATGAGGCTCATGTAATTTATGAAGGTCACATGGAAAGTGAAAAACAGGTCTGGGATTTGAAACCAAGCCCTCTGATTCCAAGTCCAGCGCTCTCTCTTAACTCTTATCATAGTGCCTGGCATATAGGAAGTGCCTTTTATTAAGCTCCTAGTTCACTGACTTCTTTTGGGAACTGACATCTATTTGAAATGCTCATTTTGCTGAATGGTTTGGTATCCACTTACAATTTAAAACATTTAATTCCAAATAAAAGGAAGGAAATAGAAAAAGAATCCTGAAATTTTGGCAGAAACTATGAATTTCAGGTTCTGTTATGAGTGTTTTGGACGATGCTCAAAATGAAAACTACTCCCCCTCTCCCCTAGTGCCTGTTGAGATTGTTATATAGTCAATAGATTAACAGTTTTTTTTGGCTCATAGTGGGAGATATAGTATAAGTGAGTTTAAATAATGTGTTTTATATTTTTAGGAGTGGATTTGTGTATTTGATACAGATGATTTCTAAAAACCAATTTATGGCACATGTGATAGATATAATTGTTATGTGATGATCACAGCCTGTCCTTAAAACATGTGCTTTCAATTATGATAAAGGGCAGCAACCTGCTGAACCTGTGGGTTCAGGACAGTTTTTTGTAATGCTAATTCTTTAATTTTGGACTGGGGGTTGTGGGGAGAAGAGGGAAGGGTCTTAAAAATTTGGATTTTCTTCTGGTCTCTGAAATAGCTTTCCATTTTCTTTTTGGGTTGGCTCTCTGTAATGGGCTCATGCAGCAATTGTGCTAGCTAGCTCTTCTTTAGGTAAAGATTTTTTTCTTTATAAAATGGGATCAAAAAGTCCACTCAGCATTTGGGGATCATTTCTAGTCCTGTTCAGGTTGGTTGTACGGAGCTGTCTAGATGGGGATGAGGAGCGAGGGAATAAATAAAAACTGTAGATAAAAAATACCCATCTATTAGGTTTTCTAAGAATTCTTGAGTTAAATCCTGGCTCTGGCACTAGCTGGAGGACCCAGGGCAAATCACATAATGTTCTATCTGCTTCCCCTTTAAAATGGGGAAAAATAATACTTAAACCATCTGGAGATATTGTGAGGAAAGTGGTTTGTTTTGCTTAAAATGCTATAGAAATGCTTCTTCAACCGACCTTCTAGTGCAGGAGAACACAATATAATTTTAATTTATTTATTTGGGTGAAATCAGGGTTAAGTGACTTTCCCAGGGTCACATAGCTAATAAGTGTCAGAGGTCAAATTTAAACTCAGATCTTCTGGCTCTAAGTTCAGTCCTCCTGACTCTAGCGCTGGTGCTGCCTAGCTGCCTCCTCCCCCCCAAAAAATTGTTTTTAAGGTTTTATTGATATCTTTTTTCAGTGGTCATTTACTGGCATAGACCTATTCCCTCTCCCTTCTCCCAATCTAGTTTTCCCTTATAACAAAAAAAAAGAGTTAAGCAAAATTTAGTGACTACTACTGACCTTGTGTACCACATTCTATGCTAGAAATCCTCTACTTTTTTCCTTGAAAGAAGGGAAACAGCTAGCTATTTGTATTTACTTT